ATATTTGTTATTAAACAATTTCTCATTACTGTTGGATAAAACATATTTGTCATGGAACACAATGGCAAGCAGAAAGGTCCGGCCGAAGAAAACAATAGTGAGATTGTGATTAATGATCCAGACACTCGGTTATGCACAATCGAGAAGCTAAGTAATGGCCCAAAGGATTCCAAACCAGACAACGGCAGTGACAGCATTTCTCCATTATCTGGTGATGTAACTAAACACTCAGTTAATAAAAATGATGATGGCTCAACTACAAGTTGTGGTAAGAGGAACATCGATAATTGCGATGTACCAATGGCTGTTACTGAAAACGACGAAATTGCAAACGGTAAGAAAATAGCAGCGTTTGTCCGAAAAGTATTGCACAATGAAGTACCCAATGATGAGATGGAATGGCCATTATGTTTGATGGTAAGAATTCATTTTATCAAAATATATTTGTGGGGAACATGTAATTGATTTATTGATGTTTGATTCTAGATTCATTCCAATCGGTCGGCCAAAATTTCTCAACAAGAGCTTAAAAACATGATCTTAAATAAAGCTGCTGAAGTCATGGCTACACATGGCAAATCATATATTACAAGACAGATGACTAATATGGCTGTTTGTAAAGAACAACAACGCTCATATTATAAAAAATACAAAACACTATTAGCCTATGTAAATGACATAAGTGCTGACCTGGACCTCTTGGATAGAATGCCTGACAATGAAGTTACACATGTTAGACATGTTGGAACGAATGTGAATATGCCTACAACAATTAAAAATTTGTGTCCACGCCAGTACTAAATTAAGGAACCACCGACTACTAATTTGTAATAAGTTAATTTTTATAACATTTTTTGCTAGCCATATTAATTATATGACTAAGATTCAGTTTCTTATACAACAAATATAATTCATGGGCACTTTTGTCATTTTTGAGAAGTGACCATATTAATAAATATTTTTTATACATAGTTTGTGCATTGTTTTGTAATTCTGATAATTTACCATCAAATAATAAACATTAAATGGTTTCATAATAATTTAAAAATATAATAATTGTACATGAAATACAAATTCTTATTATGTAGAATTTATTGATATTATTTTTAAAAAAGCAGTTTGAAATACAAAAATTGCGTAGTACAAATAGCTAGTATAATTATTTAAAGAGAAATTTGAATGCAATGCTAAGTCATCACAGATTCTGAGCAGTTGAGTTTACTGTATAATTGTATTAAGACCATTAGTATGAAATACATTTTAAATATAAGTAATTAAGCTTTACACCTTATGTTACAAATTCCCCAATATTTTTCATGGTTAAACACAGTTAATCTCACGAACTTTTTCAAATTTTCAAAAATGTTTTTTTTTTTTTTATTGATCCTCAAGCTTCTATGGCCATTAGCTGTTTATAGGGTTTGGAATGGTAGGTTTTTACACGAGTGTTTGTGTTTTGGCAGAATTTTTGATTGGGCACCCGTAGGTATCTGCCATGCCCGAGTGGGGGATGGCAGCACTTGTTCTCTGGACACCGTGACTTGCCCGAAGAAAAATGCCGCCCAGTGACCAAGGATCAAACCCGGATCGGCTGCGCCGCAGCCGACACCACGTTGGACCGCTCGGCCACCTCGTCCCCCAAAAATGTATATTTACTGTTCATGAGAAAAAATGTACATCTAGGAAGTGGCGCACACTCAAAAATAAATAGGGGTAGCAAATTGATTCGGTTACCTCTATATTGGTTGATAGACTAATGGCTATAGCCTATAATTATTCAATAGTTTATTTTCAATATTTTTATACGTAATAGAATTTTCATGATGTAAATATTTTGGAGCCAGGGGTCCACCCACCCACCTACCAAAAAAATCAGGGGTAGCAACTGCTATCCTTCAACCCTCCCGTGTGCGCCACTGAATTCTAGGGTAATATTATTATACATTGTTGATAATCTTTTAAGGGCACCTATCACAAAACAGGTTTTTTTAATTTGATAGAATTTTAAGACAAATTGTATAGTTCGACATTTTTCATAACTTATTCATAACTCGAGTTATGAGGAATTTTCAAGAAAACAAGTCGCAGTAATTGCTTATGTATTTGACTTCACATGTAAAAGCTGCTTGCTAGTAGTTTCATACAATAATTTACTTACCTTTAAAATGTTTGTTTTACATATTATGTGATGTTTCTATGCACTGAACACGATAACGAATCCAGAAGAGTCAACTTACTTAATGTTCATATTTTATTTTTTTAAATAATTAAAATCGTATAAAAGTAATTTAATTTTTGTCCAGTATACCACAGTAAACGCAGCAGTGAATTATAGCAACAAGATATGGTGCACCACTAATTTTTCATTTTGGTATTTTTAGCCGGCAATCCCAAATTCCAATGCCCCTCTCCTCTCCCTTCTTAATATTTTTTTAACTTTGAATGTTGGCCAAATCTTTTTTGAAAGTTTTTACTAAAATAATTTGATATTTAACAATAATTCAAAGAAAATATTTTGTAGTAATATTAAAAAATACATTTTTATTTTTTATAATAATATAGTTGAAATACTAGTTTCCAATTATTTTATTAGGATAAGACATTAAAAGATAAACAATAAAATATAAGTATAATTACCTGTTGTTTTTTTTTTATCTTTTATTAATCAGTATATAATAACCGAATAGAAATTCCATTTCTTATTAGGTGATGATAATATGAAAGTTGGTCAAACTCACTTAGTAGTCTTTCTCAAAATTGCTATTGCTTAAGATAACATAAAGTTAGAATATTCTGAATTACCATAGGTACTAATCATTTAATTGTTGAGTACAATACTACACAATATTATTCAAAATATATACTCTCCGCTGCTTATAAATGAATTAAGCCCCCCGTTGTTAAAACTTAAAATCAGTCATTAGGTATTACTGTTACCAACACATTTTCATCCAATAAAAATATAAAATACAACATTATTTCATAAGGTTCAAACAAATCAAGTACAAAAGTTCTTACAGAACTACTACTGAGATGTTTCAAGTAGTCCCCACTATGTATGACACAAAAATTGGACCACCTGTTATATTATGAATAAGATGTAATTAGATTTAATTCATTATCTTCTCTTCTAACAAATTTAAAAATATTATTAAACTATGTAAATAATATTTTTTTTCTGATTGTTTTTAAAACTCATCATGCATGAATTAAAATGCAAAGAATAAATAACTGAATCAAAATTTAAATGTCTTCATGTTTTATATTGTCCTCTGAAATTGTATCAAAATAGAAGTTTATTATAATTGAAATTTGGTTCACTTATTTATAATGAATGTGCAGGTCCTAATTTTTTTAATCTGATTTAATCTTAATATTATAATAAGCAAACAAAACATATTCTGAAAAAAATTTAGTAGTATCTACTACTTATTTGTTGAACATTTTTCACCTCATTATTTTTATGGAACTTAACACTACAATTTTTGTTCAGATAAAAATTTTAACATTTTGTCCCAACAATTTAAAAACAGAAATCCCATATTCCTATACATTTAGAATTCTTTTATACTAGAAACTTTCCGAGTAATAAGGGAGAGACAATCGTTTGGGCGACAGGACAAGTATTCGTCATCTGTGTCTATACACTTGTATTTAACGCTATTTATTTCTAGTTGCATGATACTTTTGAGACACTAAGTGACTTGTGTAAAAAAAAGCTGCACTATGTATTATTTAAGACTAAGTACATAGAGGATTAACCATAATAGAAATAATACTATACAAGTATAAAACTGTTAACATTCATAATAGTGGATCAATACCTAATAAATAAAATATCACTGTTATTTGAAATCCATATCCAAAATATTATGTTTGACTAACCTGAATTCAGATAAATAACATTAAAACTTTAAAACAAAAGAAGAAAAAAATCTATTCCATTTTAATATTCATGGAATCGTGTATAAAATTATAGCGAGCACAAAAACTCATGGAAATCATTTGAGACATAAACAAATAAACACATTTTTTATTTTTGTTTTTTTATTATTATGCATATATTACACATGCTAATCTCTTACCCTAACTGGTTTCAAAACGAAAAAAAATTTATATAATATAGGTACATACAAATTTAAGGAAAACAAGTAAAAAATGAAAGTATTTACTATGAACTTAACGAGGAGTAAATTGTATTTTGTACAATTTCCTTTTTAAAAAAAAAAAACACTCATTAAACTACTTCAAACTTTTAGTTTTAGAAAAACACTCAATAATGTAACTCAATTTTTTAAGATTATTATATACAAAAATCATGTTTTCTAGGCAGTTATAAAAAAAGTGCAAAAATTTGAAATATTAATTCCCACAATAATTACACGACTAATAATAAATTATTAGGCATCAGTTTAAATGTACCACAGAAAATTAAAAATAAATAAATATAAATATAATAAAATACTGAACACCCCATACAAATCACATGAAATAAATTAATCATTAGAATATTAAAATGAAATGATTATGAAAATATAAAATGTTATTATAATATATTATACTATATTATAATATAGTATAAAATGTTATTATAATATATTATCATAATGCAAAAACTAAAAAAGTTATCTCTCAGTATTTAAAAATAAATATTATTACTAAACATTAAATCTATACCAAACAAAGGAAACAGAAATAATTGTATTTCTGTTTACCAAGAAATGAGAATACAAATTAAAACTAATAGCAACTAGGTTACTGAAATAATATTATTGACCTCATTACCTATGTATAACCTAATTAGTACATTAAAGTTAATGTGTACCTATTTATTGTTTAATTACTTAATCTAGTACTATCTTGATTATGAATGTGGTAGTAGTGATGATCTTTCAACAGGAGGTTTATTAAAATTAACGTTTTATTAGAATATTGATGTGACGGATAGAAAAATATTATAATTCATTGAAATATTTTTAAACATAATAAGAATAAATACTATGAGTGGAATAAGAAAAATAATAAACTCCCCGTTGGTTCCAAAACTCCCTGGAGCTTACAAGTAAGTATTATTGAACATTTACAATGTTTAAATTTTTATAAGAAAACATATTTTTTTAATTTACAAGAAAAAAGAATTAAAATTGTATTTTACTTTTAATCATAGTCAGGCGGTGCAGGCGGGCAATGTGTTGTATGTTTCTGGTTCTTTAGGCCTAGATGAGAAGACGTTGAAACCGGTCGAGGGTGGAGCAGCGGCTGAGGCTAGGCAATCACTAAAAAATATCCACGCGATACTTAAACATGCTGGCACTTCATTCGATAAAAGTAAGAGTGAAAATACAATTATTAATGTGTTATTAACATATAATAAATGCTTCAATAACATCACTAAAAATTTGACTTGTTATACCTAAACCCTAGATTAGATAATTATAAATATACAATGCTATTTTTTATATGATAAACCTAATTCTTGATTTTGTAGTGTTAAAAGTCAACTAAATACAAGTAATTCAAAATGTAGGTATGTCAAATCAATTGGTAGCATATTTCTGAAGCTTAATGCAATGTACTTTGAAGTCTGTTTTACTATTTTAAGTAATTGGTGTTTTAAAAAATGAGTATTACACAATTTCAAATTTTACATTTTACAAAACAACCTTTAATTTGGTGTTATATTTTATGGTGACGACCTTAAAAAATATCACACTACTGCTTAAGAAGTACTTAAATGGTTATTTTAAATAAAAATCATTATATTTTATTAAAATACTTTCCAATATTTTGTAAGTTATTTTTTAGTTAATAATAAACAACCGCCGCTCGCTTAAATAAAACTTTCAAGAACATTAATATTATGTTCAAAAATCTGCCAATTTTAAGACAACATACTATTTACAACCGAGAAGGAATCATCAAACGGAAGTACAATGAAGCTATGCATATTTTATAATAAGTTTTATTTAAAATCAAAACATACCAAGTATTAAAATGTGCACTTATCATTTTCGTAAATTGGATAATTGAAATAGTCATGTCACTCAAACACAGTAAAATGAAAAGGAAAAAACTGCTTAAGATAAAATATTGGAGTTTTCAATTAAAAAAATGTTTATGGTTTTTTCTGTTTTTATATAAGTATTTATATATAAAAAAAAAAAAAGAAAAATTGAATTGTTTTTGAACGCTGTATTTCACTTGTTTCAAAGTAACTACTCACAGATACAAAGCATGTCTACAGCAGATCGGCCACATTTTGTGGCATCTCGAGAACGTGAGTGTTGTAAAACGATTCAATATCCTTCATCGCTCGTTTGTCGTCTTCAGTGATGAAATTAATGGCGACTCCCTTACGACCGAAACGGCCAGAACGCCCAATCCTGTGAATGTAATTCTCGCGGTTGGACGGCAAATCATAGTTGATAACCAGAGACACTTGTTGTACATCAATGCCTCGAGCCAACAAATCAGTAGTGATTAGAACACGACTAGAGCCAGAACGGAATTGACGCATAATTAGCTCACGTTGACGTTGGTCCATTTCTCCATGCATAGCTGATACAGTAAATGTTTTCAATCGCATATTTTCAGTCAACCACTCTACCTTACGACGTGTGTTACAGAATATCACAGCCTGGGTGATACTAAGAGTGTCGTACAAATCACACAATGTATCAAACTTCCATTCTTCTTTGGTAACATTGATGTAAAACTGTTTGATACCTAAATGAATAATAATTGATTAACCAAGAAATTAATAATAATTAGTCATTATAAATACCTTCCAATGTTAGTTCTTCTTTCTGCACAAGAATGCGTACTGGATTACGCATGAAGTGAGTGCTCACATCCAAAACATCCTCGGGCATAGTAGCAGACAACAGAATGACCTGAATATCTTCTTCGAGGAACTTGAACACCTCTTTAATTTGATCTTTGAAACCTCGAGACAACATTTCATCAGCTTCGTCCAAAACAAATATCTTGATAAATTGAGTTCGTAGTGATTTTCTAGCAATCATGTCATAAACACGACCAGGAGTGCCAACCACTACATGGGATCCAGTATCCAGCTTACGCATATCATCACGAACGTTTGTTCCACCAATGCAAGCATGACAATCCGCTTTCATGAAGTCGCCCAAAGCAATAACCACCTAAAAACAAGGTTACATTGTAAACAGTTCAATCTAATCAAATAGGAATATAAAATAAGCTTACCTTTTGAATTTGTTGAGCCAGTTCACGCGTTGGTGCCAAAATGAGTGCTTGGCACTCATTCAAACTTGTATCGATTTGTTGGAGAATAGAAATTGAAAAAGTAGCCGTTTTACCAGTACCAGATTGGGCCTGAGCAATGACATCATGTCCCTTGATGCATGGCAAAATAGCACGCTGTTGAATAGCTGATGGCTTTTCAAAACCATATCCATAAATACCACGCAGCAATTCTTCTTTTAAATTCATCTCATCGAAGTTGTCCACCACTTCTTTCCAGTCAGACTCAATAGTTCCACCGACATCCATGCCGGGTGGTCCCGAGTAGTCATTGGTTTCACTAGGCGGTCCATTTTTCGTCTCATTAGCATTCATTATTTAAAATATTCTGAAATCAATGAATTTAAAGTTAGTTATAAATTAAAAATTGGCGAAAATTCTTTCAAGATTTGGATTACATTCTCAAAAACATATAGAAAAATTAAAATTATTCAATCAAAAAGATAAAATATGCAGTGGCGGCTATGCTATACTCAAGGTGTATCCGTCGATACACCTTATAATTGGGTGGGTGGGTGGTAAAATATTGGTTAGGCACTAAATTGTATACCATTGTATACCAGAGTTGGTGGGTGGGTAACTAAATTCAAAATTTGATACACCTTTATTTTGTTTGATAGCCGCCACTGAAAATATGTACCAATAACTTTTTTAAATCATTTTATCAAATTTTATTTATCATTTAGTGATAAACTATATTATACTTTATTACAAAATCGAGAAAAAAAACCAATTTAAATAATTAAAAATGAATGATGTGAAATAATTTGATTCATATTTATGTACCTATCCTAAGAGTTTTTTATTAATACAATAAAAATAACAAATTAATACAATTTAATTAATATAAAAATAAAACAATAACATAATTTAAAATTGTATCAACTTGAACATACTAAAAAAAAAATAGAAAACAATTAACATAAAATACGTATTATAATGAATTAGTGTTGTACATATTATATCTAACATATGACACAAAACTTCACTCAAGTACTGACACAGCAAGATAGTTTTGATAATTTTAATAATATAGTTAAAACTTGAATAAATTTTAGTTCATCACTCATCAGCATCATAATATACCTAAAACTATTAAATTGATTTGCTATAAAATATTGATAATTTATCAAAGTAAATAATAATTTTTCATTTTAATAAGTTATTTCCCAGTAATTTTGTAACCCATGGTTTCACATTTAGTATTAGAATATGTATTTTCTAAAGTAACTTTTTTAAGTTATTTTACTTTAAAACCAAAATATATAAACAAGAATATAATATAGGTATTTATTAAGTATTTGAAGATAATTCTACTAACCATCAATACTCACTAAAATGATAATAAACTAAGTGAAGTACCTACAACCCAATTTAAAAATCAGTAAAACACATGGAATAAAAGTAAAGATAGGTATATAATCGAAATAGTGAAAAATGCAATAATCAGAAACAAAGATTATACTGGCCTTGAATGGACCTAACGTTAACTATTGCCTAATTAGTAGCAGATAATATAATTTCATTACATTTTCTATAATAAAATTTCAACAAATCATTAAACATGCTAATAAACATGATCACTAAAACACCTACATTAATGTTAATAATTATAAGACACAACTAATATGGTAAAATAACGTATACACAATAGAATCATTAAACTCTGAAATGGTAAATGTAAACCTGAACAAAGTTGATGTAAGGAGAAGACAATTTGAAGACAAACAATTTGACCGTATACACAGCACCCATCAAAGCAAACGATGTACACTTGAAAGCTGCAGATAAACCTAACCATAAGTTAAACACCGAACAATGCATCGGTTGGTCTCTTGACGCTTTAGTCGTTAAGAGCATCCGCTTTCACACAACAAATTTTCAAACCCTGTCGCACCGCCATAACACCTACAAACCTACACCTGGACCTTAACCTAAAAAGCGATCCCAACCTGCAGTATAGGTCCATAAGGGCGCCTGCCCAAGGGCGGTCCCACGTGACGAACACCCCCTTTAGCGAGAGGCGCAGACACCGCGGAAGTGACAAATATACTTGTGTCTGCGACAAGGGCAGCCACAGCCGTCGGATGACGGTGAAGCCGAAGCTCGCGCGGTGATACAACGGCCGTCCATGATGTGGCCGTCCGGCGGCCATCTCCGACCGCCAGTCGGCCGACGGAAACGGCGCGTTTGCACAAAATACATCGCGCCAGCGTTTAAATAAATACGTAAATGTGTACTTACATACTGTAAAACGATTATAGTCGCAAAACGAAGAAATGTATCTAAAGAGAACACATTTTGACAATTGAACAATGTAGAAAACGCTTAAAGTACATGTGATTTGCCGAGAGGAAATCGGAAGAGAGAGAAGCAGATAGGGTGAGAGACGGTGGATAGCGTACAATCGACGAGCGTTTGGTGAGGTTAGCACGCAGTGTAGCCACGCGTCGCATCAAAAACCACGATCGATAATGGAAGTGCGTGCGCGCCCTCGCGTCAATTTTTCTTATTACTAGCCAGACGGGACCCTCCCCACATTCCCGCTCAAAGATCGACACGAATCCGACACGGGTTGGCGACACTGGGCGGCGCGTGCGTCCATCACACACTGACGCCGCGGCTGCCGCCGTTGTTGATAAACAAAAACGCCATCGCCTAACGCGGCTTCCCACCACCCGCCCCCGATCATGAGAGTGTGCCTGTGTGACGCACTGACGCGCCACGGCCCACGGAATACGAATAACGTGTGATCACACTGACCGAGCATCGCGCCACTTTTATCACGCGCCATTGCCATATTTTGCCGGTACTGTGTACGTAGTTAGTATAGATTTTACCTTTTGGATTTTGATCTCTCGACTCTCATCCGCAGACCGCGGTGACTAACCATTCGAGTCTACTCTCTTAATCATCATAATTGCCATTGCCCGTCAGCTATTATTCATTTCGTATTTTTGCGAATTATTTCGATTCGTTATTCAACCCAAACTCGTATCGACTTATCGTGTAGGTACTATAGGACCTACCTACGTGAATTATACACTTGTTTAGGCGTAAACGTTAGTTTTGAGAATTTTTTTTTTTGGTTCATTTCGAATCCTATCATTTGTCGGCGTTGTACCCTCCCTAAAGAAATTGTACTTTAATATTATATTTTTGTTGTTTGTACATAGTGCCAAGGCCGGATTAAGGGGGGGTCTAGCCGGGGCGGTAGCCCCGGGGCCCTCTCGAATACCCGCAAGTGAAAGGGGCCCAAACAATTTTAAGCCGATACACAATTTTCAGTGATTTAAAAAAAATAGTTTTTCTATATTTTAAAAACCATTTTTTTTCGACCCGGTAAGTGAAAAGCATTCAAATTATTATAGTTATTATTGAATACCTACATCAATACATGTTATTTTCAAAGCTAAACATTTTTAAAACTAAACTTAGTATAATATAATATACTTATCAATCAATAATATTTTGAACCATTAACTTGGCCATTTGTTTAAAAAGAAATTATCTTTTTAATAAACAAGAATGAAATAATTGATATGTTATAATTTTTAATCAATGAATTAAAAAAAAAACTACTCTTTTATTAACATTGTAAAAATTATAGCGTCTCACGTATCTTAAAACCGTGGCCGTGCCTAACACGGTACTCGTCTTCAATGTGTTAACTATTAAAAATAAAATACTTTTATTAAATAAGTATTTTATTTGCAAATTTGTTATATACCAATTTTTATTAAAAAATGTATTTTCATAATATTATTATAATAACAAAGAAGCCAATGGTTCAGCTGAGAGCCAGAGTGACATTACGCCAATAATATAGAACTAGTCAAACACAAGAAAACTTAGATATACAAATGATTTTATATTCTGAGAATGATTTGTTAAAATCATTAAACTTAAATTATGTACTAAAAGAGTTGGCTTCAAGTAAAGCAAGAAAAAAAAATTTAATTAATTAAATAGTTTTTGTTTTATATACCTATTATTAACTTAAGTTTGATATTTGTTGTATACTATTAATACATTTAATAGTTATTATGAAAATTTGTATTTACTTATCATACTAAAATGAATAATTTTATAGACATAAATTGTACAAACCTATTAATTTTATAATCTTATAATGCTATTGAGAATTTGTGAAATAGTTAAAAAATGTATCGTTGTGCGAGCGTAGCGAGCGGCTTTGTAAAGCATGTTTTGTCAAAAGGGCCCATATAAAATTTCAGCCCCGGGGCCCAATAGGTGCTTAATCCGGCCTTGCATAGTACATTAGTATATATACTTTCCAAGTTGTCAGCTGGTTTGAACTCCCTAACCTCCCCCCACTGTGTCTATGGTCCTACCTAAGCCCTAAGCTGCTAAGGCACACGTAAAACTTTAAGATAATTTACAGTATATATATTATATAGTATATTGTGATCTAAGCATCAAACCCATACAAGTATACAACCGAAAATTAGTGATAATTTGAAGGGAAAATCACGACGTGTTTGATAATTTTTATTAGATATCATTTAGACTTCAAAATATCCATTGAATTGAAATAGACATTGGGATAATATTATTTTTATTTTTTATTAGCTTATCTTTTGTACTCAATACAAACAAAAGAAAAATACAACGTAAATAAAGAATATATTAATAAAAGAGTGCTTTAAATAAATGTAGATCTAATGATAATCTTAGTTAATATTTAAATAATAAACTAAAGACATTAAAAAAAAAAATACCCATTGCAATTGACATTAACCATCGGGATTCGGGATGCCCACGCCCCACACTACCACACTATACCTACTAAGTACTAATATATTGCAGATAACCAAATTAAAAAGATTTGATATTACCATATTAGTTTAGAATTTGTACAGCCAAGACCACGTATACACATATTTATTATAAAATAAAATAGCAATCCCTTGACATTAACAATTTAGACTCAATCTCAATGAATAATTTAATAATTATAATTTATATCATAATTATTAACAAAAGCAAAAATATTCTGCTATGCGTTATTATAATAACTTTTAATAACTGGTATTCACTAAAAATAATCAATTAACACTCGTCAGTCGTCTTACACAAATGTCAAATTATTTTTCTATCCCTACAAAGGTCAAAGAGGTTTATTATAATTTTTAGGTATCATATTTTAATAATAAATATATAATATAATAAGCAATATATATATTGAACAGTGGCGTATAACCTAACTACCTAAGGGCCCTGAGCCAGGGTGAAGGCCGAAGGGTCCATACTGAAATGTCCCGTTCAATTATAACATTGAATGCATATTGCTT